TACATAAATTTATCAAATTTCCAATTATAAAAATAGTCATTTTTGTACTGAAGAACTAACAATCGGAATCTTCTGCGTTACAAGTATCTTCATCATAAAGACTGGCACTCTTTTCCTGGAAAGAATTATAATATGCATGATATTTTAGCGGGATAATGTTCTTTTTACACAGTGCTTTCAAGTCCTTTATTTTAGCTGCAGGAAGTCCTTGACAAGTTTCATACGCATGTTTTAGAACATACTTCGACACATTTACATGAATCTTTTCTTTTCTAGTGACGAGTGTTTGATTCTCCATATCCAATGAAATTTTATAATATAATTGATTTTTATTTTCCTTGGTGACTGAAACCTGCTTAATCTTTGAAATTGGTATATTAGATGTCTGTTTTTTATTTTTGTTCATTGAAGTTTTTGACCAATTCATTTGAGAAGATAAATCTTTAAAGTTATGAATCATGTCATGTGTTACTTTAATTACTTCATAATGGGGTTTAGTCAATTTTGCTTCTCTGATGATATCACACCACTCATTTAGTGAGTAAATTTTTCTATTTTTCGCGTGTCTCTCTATTGTCGAGTGTACCGAGTCTCCTTCATTTTGCGTATGTCCAGGTTCCAAAAATGAGTGCTTAATTTGCACATTCAATTTCGCAGAGGCATAAACATACATCGCGAATACATGCTTGTTCCGATTTTGACCAGCACAGTTGTCGGACCAGAAATAAAAATCAGTAATGCCGGTAGAAGCTTTTCTTTCGATGTAGTGAAGCAAACAGCTTGCTACTTCATTGGATCCTTTTTTCGCCTCGTTTTCACTCCATATATAACAAACAGCTTCACGACGAACAGTGTCAAAAATGGTAAAATTCAAAACTGAAAGTTTTCGTTTGTAATAGAGCGAGCTGGCCTCTGTTCTTGGTGTTGTGAGAACTTTTTCAAAGTCAAAGCATGCCATACAACTATTCTTATTCGTTTTTGTTTGATTTTTATCTTCTTCTTTCAGCTTTCTGGACATCTCCTTATTTTTCATATGACTTACATATTTACTATTTAAATTTTCTTTTTCAGCTTCGGAAGCATTTCTATAACACTCACAGACATCACACTGATCCTTTTTCGGCTTGTGGAAACTGATATTAAATTTCGTGTTAAATGTGTCATAGTAAAAATGTTTTGTTGCAATACTTTTTTCGACCTTTCCGATTTCCTTCATTTTTTCGACATACAACTCATACATTCGGCTGAGAGTTAACGTTTCTTCGAGATATTCACGATTCGAGTCCTTTCTTATGTAATGTGATTCCACTCGGGGAAATGAATTAATATGCTTAATTACGCTTTCCGTTTTCTCAATGTCAATAGCTTTCGGTCCTGATTTTCCTCTTCCTCTTTCATCAATGAGCTCTGAATCTCCATTGCGAGTTTTTTTAAAAGCCGACTCTACAACTTGCATACTAATATTTAAGGTGTTCAAAAACATTGTTCTACATACAATAAATTTCTTTCCTCGGTCATCAATATTGTATGTCCTGGAGAACTGCTTTTTACTAACATTATCATCATCATTAATTCGATTTTCAGTTACATTTCTCAGAAGGAAATCATATTTCTTTGAGTGTTCAGAAATTCTCCAATAATCATTAAAAAATTTCAGTCTTGTTTCTTCAGAAATTTTGGTTTCGCATTTAAATCGACATCCCGGTCCGCAGGTTCTTTGCATCGAGCGTTTTGGAACTGTTTTTTTTGTGTATGGTGAAACATATTCGAGACCAAGATTTACAGACTTTTTAAAAACATTTTTTCCCCAATTTTCTGGATTGCAGAGTCTTTTTCTAGTTAAAATTTTGTCTTGCTGATCAAAACTCTTCTTTCTTTTAACTACAGGTAACGCATTCCCGGCAATATCCTTGGCTGTATCGGAGCAAATATTATTCTCTTCAGATGTAGAAGGAAGATTTTCATCTTCTGATGATAAATAAACTTCTTCATCTACTTCCGAAATTTCATTTGAAAAATCCATATTTTCCAAGACAGAATTGCTCTCATCAACTATTTCGGAATTATTTTCATCAAGCGAACTTATTTCTTTTGAAACAGTAGAATTTTTTGAATCCAAACCAAGAAAATTTATTAATTCTTCTGATAAATCTGTAATAATAGATAATGTCGAAGAATAAATTGACATCAACTTTTAATTCATAATTGTGACAATAATCGTTATTCTACGTTATTTGATTTGAAGAATTTTCTGATATTTTTTGAAACAATAAAAATTAAATTATAATTTGATACTTCATCTTTAGACTAAAATTAAAAATTTAAATATTTTTTATTTTCTTAATAAAAAAACTGCTGCCAAGTTATAGATTTTTGTTATAATTTTGGTGCTCATTTCTTGAACACTTTGCTTCCTCATAGAGATAATAATAATAATAATAGAAATATATGAATAACTTTTTATAAATATGGTAAAAGTGATTAAATCTCGGGTCAACCCTACAAGATTGTTATAATAGTTTAATAGTTCAAGAAAAATGTTCAAACAAAAATTTGAGAAAATGTCATTTTTGAACTCCTGAGGTCAAATAACATAAAGATATGTTAAAAAATCCAACTCGAAAAATTTTGGTATTACAATACTTCCTCTATATGAGGAAGCAATAATTTAAAGTATTTTAAATATAATTATAAGGATTTATTAAACAATAATTCGTCACAGCAAAAAAGAAACTATTCAATTTGAGCTCATACTTGCAATACATACCACTTAAAGTACTTTCTCGAGAATCCATTATAAAGTTAATCTTTTTTTGCCTGGCTAGATATTGTTACATATTTCCAAAAAAACGAAGTTAAAATTCAAAATCGTTTGATTTACTTCATAAAATAGAAAATAACGTCTGTGTCAAATATAATTATTTTCATATGTCATTAAAATCAATACAATGAAGTTTCTCTCTAACCAATAATAAAGATAAAAAAGTAATTTTGAATCAATAGTGCGATTTGAGAAATTTGTAACAAAGAATTCAAAAGCAGAAAACTTAACAATTTTATAATTGAAATTAAAATTGATAATTATAATTTTAAAATTAACTAAAATTCATAATTAAAATTTTGTAATTCCCAACCATAAACGTAAATTAAATATAACACAATTTTTTATATAATTACATAAATAAGATAGTATTTTTGAAAAAAAAATTATAATCATTAGACGACAAAAATCTTCTTTCTGAAACTAAATAGGAAAAATTTATTTAATAATATTTAATATTATTAACAATTATGAAAATTTTGGTCACGAATGTGTATTAAAAATATTTAGAAAGAGAATCATATTGAACGCAAGCTTCAGTTGTCATTTTATTGCATTCGATTTTGAGATAGCATTATCTCGAATTGAAAAATGAATTAGAATTGTTTTGCATTCATTTGTGAGTTAACTTCATACAACATTTGTTTCTCAGATAGATTTATACTGAACTGACGTTTAAAATAATATTATCTCGTCAGGAGGCGTCGAATTGTTGTAACTAAAAGGAGAAGAATTTCTGAAATTAAAAAGAAACACAATTGAAGAGTTAAAGAAAATAACAGGCTTCGAAGTGACACACTTTTCCACTTTTTTGACACTTTTTTTGGTCAAGCCTACTTTTTGCTACTTATTTTGTCAAAAAGCTACTTTTTGCTACTTATTTTGTTAAAAAGCTACTAAATGCTACTTTTTTCCAAAAAAGAATTCAAGAATTTTAGTTTTTTTGGTGAATTTCGTAGATTTTAAAAAACCCGCCAAGTGAATTAAATTTATTATTGGACGCGTGATTATAATATATTTTAATAATTACTAATAGTGGATGTTTATTAAATTACAACTTTTTAACGTTTCGAATTTTTCGTATATCTAATTTTATTATTCTTTAAGCTTCTTAAAAAAATTAAAAACTAAATTTTTCACTATATAATTTAATGGTAATACCTTTTTTGACTTTATAAAAGTTTCATCAAGTATAGAAAAAATCAATTAAGAATGAAAACTTAATTCTTTTGGTTATATAAATTGTTTGATTAAAAATCCAAAATAATATTTATTTAACGTGATTATTTATTAAATTATGTTTACAAACTTTATGTCAAATTTAAAAATATTAATTGTATTTTCAATAATACAGTGTTTTAAGTCGGTTGTTCAATAATAAAAAAATCATTTATAAAGATTTAAGATCTATCTAGAAAAAAAATTATAATTTTTTTTATTGGAATTAAATTGCTCATAATTTATTATTGTACAAAATTATGGCTATGTGGATTCTAAAATTTAAAAAATTTATATGACTAAAAACAATCCATTTTTTCCATTTTGATAGTTGTTATTAGTAAATTACTAAAAAATGTTTACGTTTCATTTTTAAAAATTAGATGGCTGATAAAAAGTTATTGATAGTTTTTTAAAAAATAATAAGGAGACAGAAGGTGTCAATTTAACTTCTCAAAATTATGAGCCTGTTATTAAAAAACAAATTCTTATGAAAGATCTCATTTAAGTATTATTAACAATTACATTTCATTACACGGTAAATCGTTAGGTATTAAAATAACACCAAAAAGGATTAAAATAATCCAATTTAGTGTTATTTTAATCTATTTTGGTGTTATTTTAACACCTAACGATTTACCGTGTATGTAAATAAAACTTTCTAATGTAAAATATCGACAAAAAAGCTATTATATTTTCATGTTTTATGTTTATAAATCAAAATTTAAAAAAAATTTTGTGAATTCCTTTTTTTAGTATTTTTTTCTTTTAATTTTTTGGACAACAACATATATTCACTTAATTTTCTTACTTAAAAAACTAATTTTACTTCATTTTTAATATGCTACTTTTTTTCAATTTAGAGGACACTTTTTTCTTCCAAAATGCTACTTTTCCACACTTTTTTTGACCTGCTACTAGACTTCGAAGCCTGAAATAAATAAGAGTGAAAGAAGAAGAAAATTAAATAAAAAAGGAAAGAATAAGAATTAGATATATTAAGAGAGTAAGAGTAAAATCAATAGAGTAATATTAAGAATAAGAGTAAGATTTCTTTTGCAAGATTAAGGATTTCCGTCAATTTTTCTCTTTTTTCAATTTTCGGAACTCGATGAAATTGTTGCTGAATCACAGGGTTGGCACCTCCACCCGTTCCAACAGTGATATAACCATAATCCGGTTTTAAAAATCTCCCCGCAACGAGTTGTAATTCCTCGGGGAAAGTTGCGGAAAACATTATTGTTTGCCGATGTTCCACTGACACCATGGATGTATTTTGCAACAATTTGCTGACCTCTGGCAAAAAATTTGAACCCAACATTTCGTCGGGTTGAGAGAGGACTAAAAATTGAATTAAATTAAATTTAATCACCCTCAAATCTATGAAATGTTGCAATCTGCCAATGGTTGCGACAAGTATATCGCAACCGTTCTTCATGTTGCATTTTTGGAATTTTGCCATCGCCCCTCCAAACACAGCTCGCACTTTCAATCCCAATCCTTGGCTGAAACGGCGAAATTCCCTTGCAATTTGGATTGCCAATTCCCTCGTTGGCACCAGCACCAAACATCTAGGCATTGAATGCCTACCCCAGACACAATCGGCAGGATTTGCGACCAAATTTGCAATTATTGGCAAGATAAATGCCGCCGTTTTCCCTGTTCCAGTAGGGGAACACGCCATGATATCCATTCCCGCCATAATGGCGGGAATTGCATATTTTTGGAAGGATGTTGGCGATTCATAATTGCAATTATGAAGATTTTCTAAAAGTTCTTCTTGGAAATTCATTTCCTCAAAGGAGTGAATTCCTTCTGGAACATTTTCCGTAATCCTCATCAAGGGATTCTCCATTATTTACTTAAAAAAAAATTAAACATTACAAAAAAAATAAAACTAATAAACATTATTGTTTAAAATAAATAAAAAAAAACAATAAGAGGAATAAACATCAAAATTAAATAATAAGAAAGAAAATTGCCAATCGGTATCCTCATTCTTTGTTTAAAGTAAAAATCCACACCTTTAACCAATTTACTTGTGAATTTTTTTACTTTTTTATAATATCTTTCTTTATCGTCCTTGTTATCATTGTCATCATTGTCAGTATTATTTATCAGTACTGTCAGTATTGTCTGTGTCATCATCTCTGTCTCTGTCATTTTTAATTTTAATTATGGGTTCGTCATCAGTGGTGGTGTCACTGTCGTTAATTTTTACAAAATAACTGTCGTCACTGTCCACTTTTTTACTTTTCCCCTCATCATTTGCGCTCATCACGACATTAAAAATTTATATTATTAATCATTTTTAAAAGTCAAACAAGAGTAAGATGAAAGGTGCCTTTTTTACTTTTGCCCTTAATTTACTCTTGACAATAAAGAGAAATGATTAAAATTTTTTTTTATTTCAATTTTAAAAATAAAAAATATACATAATAAAAAAAGAATGGTACTTTGTATAGCATTGGAATTTGTGATTCTTCGACATTTAAATAATTCCAAATGACGGCGACTGGATTACCATTAAGGTAATTTCGTCGACCGACATTTGGAATTAGGGTAATGTCGCCACCTTCTTTTACAGCTACCGCCGTCACTGGTTGCTGCTGTGGCTGCTGTTGCACCTCGTGTTCATCATCATCATTAACTTTAGCTTCAGCATTATCATCATCATTTGTTGATAAATTTTCGGAGAAATCTTTTTTTTTTAATTCTATAATAATTATGTATTAAATTTATATATAAATATATATATTATTATGCTATAATAATTGATTACTCCAAAAATTTATCAACATTATTTTTATTACAATTAAATTAAAATGTATGCATGCTTTTTTAAATTTTTAATTGGTTATTTTTTAAGTTACTTACATTATTTTTATTTTTATGCTGTTCAAAATACATCTATGACTTCTGTTGATGCTGTTGCAATATTTCATTTATGGCTGTTGTGTTGCATCTGACGTTGTTGCAATTGCATCTGCGGCTGCACATCTCTATAAATTAAAAACTTTACTTTTTTATTTAAAATTTTTTTTTTTTATTTACATTTATTTATTTATTTATTTACATTACTGTATAGGAAAATTTTATTCCTTTTCACAGTTCAAAAAGAATAAACTTTATTTTATAAATGTTAAATAAATTTTTTTTTTAAAAATTCATTAATTGGTAAATTAATTTTTATAAAAATTTCATAAATTACTTACGCCTCTCTATTGCTAAATGAAAAATTTGCCACTCTCACGAGCCCTTGTTGTGATGGAATAGCTTCATTTTCCCGATCCATTTCACTTTTTTTAACCTTTTTAAATTTTTTATATTAATTATAATTAATTTGAAATTTTTTTATTTCCTTCTTTTAATATTAAATTATGAAATTCAAAGATTTTAATTTTTCAACACGATGCTTCAATTTTGAATGTAAATCTTGTACTGAATTCCTTGTTTACAAAACTCCTTTCGAAATCGGCATCTAATCGTAAGATAAAACAGGGTCGAACATAAAAATACAACTTTATATATACACTACCGTCCAAAAGTATCAGGACGATTACATTCGACTCTATGAAAAAACATGCCGTCACTTTTTCAATCATATCTCGGAAGTAAAAGGAGGTACAAAAAAACTTAAATACGGTTAGAAAGCTGATTAAATTTTGCGTAAAATAAGTCGTCTTTAAAGTCATTTCGATAATTATTTTTTGAGTTGTAGAGTGAGAAAGAAATAAAAAAAATTATCAAATTTTCTCATTTTGGTCTCTTGACTTCAACTTTTTCAAAAATCTAAAAAAATTTAGATAAATGTTTTATAAAAACACAGAAATGAATTTCATCCTGTTTTCTCTCTCATTCGCTGCCGCGCAAAGCCACAATCGAGTCGTCACAGTTGAATTTCAATGCACCAATTGGTCGAAACACGGCTTCACATTTTTAATGATATATCGAAGACGGATTAACCTTTCTTAATTTTCGAAGGCTTATTTTAAAGCTGAAATTCTAACGAAGATTTCTGTGTTTTTAGAAAAATTTTATCTTAATTTTTCTAGATTTTTGAAAAAGTTAAAGTCAAGAGAGACAAAAATTAGAAAATTTGATAATTTTATTTTTTTTTCCGTCAAGGTGTTGGTCCCGTGCCTGACTGAAAATCGAAGTTCCACTGTATTCTCAAAATGAGCCTGTCTGGGCAAATAGAATATAAGATATTTTTATTGTAGCAGAGATTCAAGAAAATTAAATTATTAAAAACGAAAATAACGAAATTTATGCCAAAAAAATCTTATTATTATTTAAAAAAATGGATTAAATGAAATATATATAATTCAACTGTCCATTTTTTTACTTTAATTATATAAAAAAAGTTTTAATCTCTATTATCCGAACTTTCGATTATCCGAACCCGGCCTTGCTTAGGTTAGTTCGGATAATCGAGGTTCCACTGAATAATATAAATAAGTTTATAAATATGTAAACAAATCGCAATGGAAAATTTTGCTATTACAATCTTTTTGACTAAATTTTTAAAAATATCAATTTTTTGTTAAGAACTATATAAAGATCAACTCCAAATATTATTGCTATATTATTCCTAAACTCTTGACATGCAAATATATAAATAATGCAAAACTGCAGTCCACTAACCCAAGAATTGTAAACGCTGGGAGGTAAAATCTTTTTTTTACTATATCGTAATAATTCTAGTTTTAGGCTAAAAAAATTAAAAGATCAACTCCAATCCTTTTTTCTGCATTTTTTCTGTAATCTACACGTCAAAATACATAGGTGTACCAATTTTTGGCCTTCTAAATAAAAAACTGTGAGCGATAAGGGGGAAGTTACATGATCATTTTCGTAACCGTCATTTAGCTAAACGTCTTGGCAGTTGGCTAACTGGCGCTGCAGACGAATGAGCTACATTATTATGAATAGACGAAAGACTATCTACTCACCTGAAAGGTTCGAGCAATTAGCTATCTGTTTCAGGTCAGGAACATTATACATCAATTAGAATTGTATTTTTGTAGTACAGAAAAAACCTGTAAATAAAGCGTTTCAATATTTCAGTAAATAAAAATTTTATTAAATGTATCATTTTCTTCCATTAGCTTAAAACTGCGTTTGTAGAATAGCTAAATGCAGAGCCAGTTAGCTAATTGCCTAATCTTTTTAGGCGAATAGACAAATAATACTAATAATAAAGCTCGTTCGTCTATTCGGCACCGGTTAGCTACCTGCCTAGGCTGTAACCATTTGAATTCTGACATTCTTTAGATTCCACGACCGTGAAGAGGTGGATGTAAAGCCCCTTTTTTATTAAAAATTGTAAAAACCGAAAGGGTAAATTACTATAATTGTAACAAAAAACAAAATCACAAATCACACGAATGAAGTAAATTCTAATGGTTCCAGTGTAATAAGTCTGAGAGCGTATATTACCTATATTGAGAATTAAAGAAAATAGTCTGCTCTTTTGTTTATTTTATTTTAAGCTCGCTGGACGCAGAGTTTCCAAGACTCAGTGAGACTATAACAAATCCACTTGGTTCTCAGTTCCGGAGTGAGCAGAACCGGAGGCACAACTTGAGGGCGTTTTAAGTCAAGGGACAAGAAACAAAAGCATAAAGAGCTGAAAATTATTTTGGCTTCATAATAAATATTACTGTATATAGTAATGATTGCATTTAAATTGTTCATTTGTACATGACTCCGGAGTCCCAATAACGGCCAGTCCAAAATTAGTTGTTGTCTCACTAAAAATAAGATAGTTTGCGCCAGTAGCACCACACAACCCGTCAATCAGTCTAATAAATTGGAATATTACTTTAGCGACAGGGTTGCGCGCCCTACTGAAATAATGTATCCAGCGAGCTAAGGCCGAAGGGCGATCGACGCCTTCCCGGTCTTCACATCTAGAACGTAACGTTGGACAGATCCCTTATAAAAAGGAAATAAAAGTAAAAATAATTTAAAGTAGAAATTCACATAAACGTGAAATAAACGGCTAAAAAACAGCGTTCTAATGTGGTTTCTCTCCTTAAATAGAAAAAAACTAATTGTGCTCTCAGGCCTAGTGACAGATTTGGCCTTGTTATTTTCTTTATGATATAATTTATTATATTTTCATTGTTTTATTTTTAAATAAATGTGATTATTTTTTGTTGTTAAAATATTGCTTTATTAAGCTTAAGAATATCGCCTTTATAAATTGTAACTTGAATTCAAAACTTCTTCCTTTTTCTATCAATTCAATATGAGTTATTATTAATTCTGTCAACTATATAATTAAATTCAAATTTAACATTGTTAGTATAAGTAACAGGCTATAAGGCGTTAAGCTAAATGACGGATTCTATTATTTACCCACGACGTATTGTGACAAATTTTATATATATAAAATAATCTTGTAAGAAAATATTCAACATAAGAAATATAAAATTTACTAAAAATTATAAAATGATGAAATTAAGATGTGAAATAAAATATACATTTAAATTAATATAATAAATATAGTCTATAAAATAGCACAATAGAATCGTTGCTGGTCTTATTGTAACAATGACGATGTCTGGTCATCTCTAAACTAATTTTTATTGCTCAAAAGTTTTGCATTTTTAACATTTCAAGTAAAATGGAAATAAATTTAGAATCTAGAAATTTCTACAATCACAAATTGATGGCTCACATTTATAAAATCCAAACCTTAATGCCAAAGCAAGTCAATTCTTTTTGAAAAATAAATACACAATATAAAGTTAACATGCATAAAATTTTACAAAATAATTCCTGAAAGATATTACATTATAGTATTTTCTGCCGGTGTAATATATACTACTTTTCTTTATATACTGTCGAAAGTACGCTCGCTAATTTATTTTTTAAGAAAATTGCAAAAGAAATAAAAAATTTTTAAATTATTTTATTTTGGTTTTTAATGTTTATTAAAATAAGTTCTGAAAATAATTATATCAGCAAAAGATTTCGTTCATTTTAATATTCAGAGCTTGTGGTTAATAAATTTATAAAGTATAAAAAGTTTTCTTTAAAATTTTTTTTCTCATTTTATATTGCGCTAACAATTATTCGTTAAATTTTCATTGACTCGAAATTTTCTTATTTACCGACAGCGGTGTTTTAACCGACAGAGAATTCTTTTACTTCTGCTGTAATACAGTTTGGGTATGAAAATCAACCAAAGCACAAATGTTTCACTTTCTGCTGCGAAATTGCAGAGGGAAGTACGTACTTTCGACCGAGGTAGGAAGAAAAATAATTTTGAAAGGTTGGAGTTTTTCCAAATAAATACTTTCAACAAATGAAGGTTTTCAAATTCTTTAATATTATTTTTAATAAAAGAGGGGACGTTGTGTAGGAGAAGGGAACATTAATTTAATTTAATTGATGAAAAATTTGTTTTTATTTAATTTACATTTAAAAAATTCCCCTTAAAAAATTTTTCTTTCTTTTTTTTCCCTTTAATTTAATTAATTTATAATTTTTTTGCTTTATTCAATTAATTGGAAGAAATTTATTTTTCTTGTTGAATTTGATTTTACTTTTTTATTCATTCCTTTAATTTTTTGATATTAATCTTTATTTTTTCTTCTTTTCAATTTTTTTATTTTAAAAAAAATCAAAATAAAAATAAAAAGATGAATAATTTAAAAAGAGCAATTTTTTTAAATGTCAATTTCTTGATTTTAAATTTTGTTGAAAACATTTATGCATCTACATCTTTAATTAATATAAAAATATAATGCCATTATTGTTTGTCGTCGTCGTCGTCATCAACAACTGTTTTTGAAAAATTTCAGCGGCTTCAAAATCTTTAAAGTAATAATTTTTTTGTGACAAATTATTTTTGAATAGATAAAGTAACTCTAAAATCAATTAAATAAAATTTAAAAAAAAATTTGAAAAAAAAATTTTCACTTTTTTAAAACAATTTTTAATAGTATTTTTAAAAAACCACAAACCACACTCCACTACTCATAATTGTTTTCTTCATCAATCACTATCATCGCTACTGTCGTCACTATTGGAGAATTCTAAAATTCTCCGACGTCCAGGACAAATTTTTAAACTTTTAACACTTTCCGGTTGATGACGAGGACGAGAGGGACCAGCAATTGGCAGACGTTCGAGTACAACAAAGGGCTGCATAGCAAATTGAATTGCTATTCGTACTCGAGTTGTTGCAGGTGCTGCTGCTGCAGGTGTTGTAGGTGTTGTAAGTGTTGTAAGCGTTGGAGGTGCTGTAGGTGCTGTAGGTGCTGTAGGTGTTGTAGGTGTTGTAAGTGTTTGTTCAGCCAATATTGGTGTGGCAGCAGCAGCAGCAGCAGGAATTGCTGGTGGGGCCTCTGGTGGTTGTGGTTGTTGCGGCCGTTCTCCAATAATGCTCAAAGCCTTGTATTGACGAGTTACATTCAATAATGCATTGTCATAAGGCTGAATAGTGTTTTGTGGATTATTGGAGCAGCATTGTTGGTATTCTTCCATACGCAATCTACGATGATTGCGTACAGCATTGGTTTGCTCATTGTACTTATTTACCGACAATACTGAACCCATCGCAGATAGTTCCTTGTAGCATAAGCTACTTAGAACTTTTGGAGTTTTCTTTTTAAAATATTTCAACTCGTTCTTTGTTAGAATAAAATGTATCTGAAACAAAAAAAACAAGCAAATAAAGAAAAGATTAAAAATCAAGTTTGAAATTAATTGAAATGAATTAATCAATTTTTTTTTTCATTTCTTTTCAACAAATTTTTTTTTAAATTAAAATTTTTAAAAATACTTGCCTCTAAACGACCTCCATTTGGAATATTATCCTCCTCAACAATTTGCGGCTGTTGTTGTTGTTGTTGCTGCTGCGGCTGTTGTTGTTGTTGCTGCTGCTGTTGTTGTTGCGGTTGTTGTTGAGGAGGATCGTCTGCGATGGTAACGGCCCGGGTGACATTGGCAATATGACTTTGCTCGACCAACACGGGAGGTTGAGCATTGTGATGATTTGCTGCAGTGATCATCACTGAATGATTTTTATTGAGCGAATTTCTTTCCATTGGGTCTGGTGAAAAATCTAATGATAAGACACCTAAACCCAATAGATTGGCAAATAATCGCCAAATTTGTCCATCTTTCCAAGAGGTGAGACATCCGAAATTTACATTTTGACAAAAGTGCGGCAGTCTGTTTGTCGTTGTCGTCTTCCCCAAAAGAAAAGGTACAAAATCGTTGATGTTAAGTCTCTTATTTCTAGGAATTTTTGTGTTTTCCAAATTTATAATTAAACTTTTCATGTCTGTTGCAAGCTTAGAAATGTCGATACGGTGTTTATGTGGAAGAAATATATTTTTGCAAATATCACAGTTACGACATTGCCAATTTGGATCCAAAGATTTTTCTGCAAGAGGATCAAAATGTTTAATTATAAATTTATATCGACATTGCTGTTGATTTTCACAGTATCCTAGTAATAACAGCATTTCTTTTATATGTTTTACTTTCATTTCTCGAGTATACGAGCCATCACTAATGAATAACTTCATTTTTGCAAAGATATCCTCGTAGTGGTAAAATAAAATGCAATCACCCGGAATGTTGTCGCGACCAACTCTTCCCGTCTCTTGGCAATAATTTGCCAGAGAATTGGAAACTGTGGTGTTGATGACAAATCGGGTGTCTGATTTATCAATACCCATACCTAATGCTATTGTCGCGCACAAAACCTGAATAACATTCTCCTTCCATCGAAGGAAAATCTCATTCTTGTCTTGTTTCGACAATTTTGCATGGTACCGTTTACAAGAAATTTCATTCATTCTTAGTAATTCTTTGTAATATTCGGTATCTTCAATTGTCCCACAATAAATAATTCCCGATTCCCCATCATTATAATTTCTTTTGATCAAACGGATAATTTCTTTTACTCTTTTTTTTTACTTTAAAAAAAAAATTAAATAGAAAAAAAGTTATTAAAATAAACAATACAACTTACACAATGCAATTTTGGTCGAGTTGCAATTCTGTTTGTAATAGGGGAATTTCATCACGAGTTATTGTTGCTGAAAATCCGCAAATTTGTATTTGGGGAAAATACGTTTTCAGATCTCTTAATTTGAGATAAGAATCTCTGAATGTACATCCCCAATCCAACATGCAATGGATTTCATCAATTATTACACGCGATAATTTTCCCCAGTCATATGCCTTCCGCAATTGTTCCAAAATTTTTTCATTATTGAATAATTTTTCTGGCGTTATAAAAAAAAATCAATTTTATTGATTTTTTCCGCCGTTGAAAAATTATCAAATAACAATTTTTCTGCCTCCGGATTGTCACCCGTTACTTTCAATGTATGAAACTAAAAAATAAAAAATGAAAATGAAATTTTTTTTTTAAAATCAACTTTTTAGAGAAAAAAAAAATTTGTTTGGAGGGTCAAGTGTGTAAAATTTTTTAATTTTCTTTAAAAACTATTCAATTAATTTTTAATAAATTTTCAAGAGATTATAAAAATGTAGACTATAATCATTTGAGGAAAAAAAATAATAATCAAATTTAAAAAGAAATATAGGATTCTTTTTGGTGTAAATGTAAACACATGAAATAAATGTAAACAGTACATGTTTCAGCTAAATTTACAAACTTGAAAATACACAAGTACGACATCAATATTTTTATCTAAGCTAATCTATACATCATGTTTTGAGTATTGCCAATATTTTATTTTGACAATTGGCAATGCCATAGTGTAAGTTATCTTTTAATGTAAAAAAGATTGAAAATCAAAGTTTTTCTCTTTCAGTATTTTGTCTCGCATTTGCATAAAAATTTAAATTTAAAAATCAAAATAAAAAAATGTAATTCTTCCTTTTTAATGCCACAACAAAAATTGATTTTGATTTTTTATTTTCGTCAATTTACTTGGTAAATTATCAAGTGTTTACATTTACATCAGAGAATTTGAAAATTAGGGGTAAATGTAAAAAAAAACTTGAACTACATTTTAAAAGAATATAATTGAATAAATTTGCTTCTATTTTATAATTTCATTAATTTGGCAATGTAAATATTACACAGAAAAGGAAATTAGGTCCTCTTTGAAAAAGAAAATTTGATAAAAAAAAATAGTATATTACATTATAAGGGCAGAAAGTTCGAAATTCCTGCACTGCGCGAAATGATGCCCGAGGCGAAGCCGAGGGCATTATCGCGTAGTTTAGGGCTTTCGAATTTCTGCCCGTGTAATGTATACTATTTTTCTTTATATGCGGTCGAAAGTACGCTGGGTAATTTATTTTTTAAGAAAATTGCAATCGAGTTTCATTTGACAGCCGGCCATCTTTATTTACTTTTGCTCCTCGCTTCAACGCCTCTAGCGGACACTCGTGAAGCTCTGGTTTTTTCTCTGTCTCTCTCTTGCAAACAATATTCGCCTGCCCCGACATTTGATGCACGAGCGAAGCGAGTGCTTCTGGTCGGGGGCAGGCACGAAAAAAAATGTGAAAGATAAATTAATATTATATTTTCAAAAGAATTTTTCTGGTGGTACAAAATTAATTCTATGTTTCTAAAATTCTAAACATTCTATAATGAAAACACTTTCATTATTTCTTCAAATTATTACAATTTTATAATATCATTTTGGTACGTATTAAAAAAGAAATTACAAAATTATTAATTATTTTATTTTTGTTTTTAATGTTTATTAAAATAATTTTTGAAAATAATTATATCAGCAAAAGATTTCGTTCATTTCAATATTCAGAGCTTGTGGATAATAAATTTATAAAGTATAAAAAGTTTTCTTGATAATTTTTTTTCTCATTTTATATTGCGATAACAATTACTCGTTAAATTGTCATTGAACTCGAAATTTTCTTATTTACCGACAGTGGTGTTTTTACCGACAGAGAATTCTTTTACTCCCGCTGTAATAGAGGTTGGGTATGAAAATCAGCCAAAGCACAAATGTTTAACTTTCTGCTGCGAAATCGCAGCGGGAAATACGTACTTTCGACCGAGGTATGAAGAAAAATTTTTTTTTTGAAAATTCCATCATTTTTTAAAAATATTTTCAAGTTCATCAGCCATTTTGAAAATTTGACTCTAAAATTGGTATTCAGTGTTTTTAAAAAAACCTTAATTGTAGCCAGATTAAGGCATTTTGAACAATTTTTAAAAATATTATTTTTACGTTCATACGCCCCAATGGATCCAACCATTTTAAAATTTAAAAATACAATTTTAGATTTTCATTGAGCAACCTTGAAATTTTTTTTTTTTTATCAAGTTGAATGATAATTTATTAAAATTTCTAAAAGATATTCACTTTTCATCATTATAAAAAAAAAAAAAAAAAAAAAGATTTAAATTTCGTTTACATTTATTCCACTTGAATTTTTTTTTTTTTTTTTTTTTAATGGATACTTTTACATCACATACAACAAGAGCGTGAAATGAGAAAATAAATGAAAATGTTACTTTAATAAAAAAATAAATACACTTGATAGAATTTAAATTTTTATATATATAAATAATTTAATTTTTTAAATTTTTTATAAAAATATATATAAAATTACTTACGTGCAACATTTGAAGATAATTATCTTGATCTTCTATAAGAGCAAGTAGTGGAGAAATTATGATTGCTGTCCGTTTATTGTCAGCATGACCACCATTGTCATCATAATTTTCCACGTATGTGGGAAATTGAAAACATAATGATTTGCCACCTCTCGTTGGCATAACATATAGTCCATCATTACCATTTATAATATTGGTAATGATGTCAAGTTGGGGCCCTCTAAATTTATTCAAGTTGAATTTGTTTTTCAATTTCCCAATCCACAATTGTTGTGCTATTGTGAATTTACTTGCTGCTTATACTAAAAAAAAAAAGAAAGAAGAAAATTTTTTTTTAGATATTTTGAAATGTTGAAAATTAAATGTTACAATTGAAACAATTAATCAATAAAGATAATTAAAAAAATGACTCTACAACAAGGAGGAAAAAAAAGAAGAAAAATAAAAAAGAAAGAATTTAAAAAAAAAAAATTCCATTTTCTTTAATAAAAAAAATTGAATTTTCCAATTTTAGATTAAAATCTCGATATACATTTCAGGAAATTTTAATACACTTTGTATTTTTTGAAAAATTTTGATTTTTCTAAAAAAAATAAAATTTTTTGATATTTAGACAACCGTTGAGATTAAACTTTTTAATGTATTCAAATTTCCTGCAATATATATCAAGATTATACTACAATCAATAATATTCTAGAATATTTTGCAAATCTGTTTTTAGTAATTTAGTCTCTACGTTTGTCTAAATGTCGAAAAATTCAATTTTTTTGAGAAAAATTGAAATTTTTCAAAAAATACAAAGTGTATTTGAATTTCTTGCAATATATATTGAAATTTTAACACAATTAACAATAATCTAGAATATTTCACATATCCGTTTACAAGTTTAGTCTCTGCGTTTGTCTAAATATCAAAAAATTTTACGTTTTTAGAAAAATACAAATATTGAAATATTTATATTTTTCTCTAAAAAATTGGATTTGACATCTAGATAAATGTAGAGCCTGAACTACTAAACAGTTTTATAAAAGTCCCTAGAATTTAATTATGATGCAAAAAGTATTTCAATCCCAACAAAAACATCTTTGCTGCAAAAATTTACGCCAAGTAAAAATTTTGGAAATGTCGAAATAATTAGTGAAATAAAAATTTACCAAGTAAAATTTGTAACGAATATATTCAATTGTAACAAATGTAGAATTTAATTTAATTATTAACATAATCAGCTAATGAAATCCAATTGTTTGTCTTGATAAAAAATTTCTATTTGAAGCAATTTTAAGATCTTGGCCTCAATAATGTTTCCAACTCATAATTAATGAAAGTATTGAGGCCAAGATCTTAAAATTGCTTCAAATAAAAATTTTTTATCAAGATTATGTTAATAATTAAATTAAATTCTACATTTGTTACAATTGAATACATTCGTTACAAATTTTACTTGGTAAATTTTTATTTCACTAATTATTTCGACATTTCCAAAATTTTTACTTGGCGTAAATTTTTGCAGCAAAGATGTTTTTGTTGGTATTTAATTTTTACAATTTATTCCATTTCCTGAATTAAAAAGAATGAAAAAAAAAAATTGTGCACCATTTAAATGTTTTAATTTAGAAAAAAAATGGAATTTTTCAAATTTTTTCCAATTGAAAATTGACGTCTTTTCAATTAAATTTAATTTTTACAATTTATTCCATTTCCTGAATTAAAAAGAATAAAAAAAAATTGTGCACCATTTAAATGTTTTAATTTAGAAAAAAAAATGGAATTTTTCAAATTTTTTCCAATTGAAAATTGACGTCTTTTCAATTAAATTTAATTTTTACAATTTATTCCATTTCCTGAATTAAAAAGAATGAAAAAAAAAATTGTGCACCATTTAAATGTTTTAATTTAGAAAAAAAATGGAATTTTTCTTTAATAAAAAAAATTTGAATTTTCCAAAATTTTTTTTCCCCTATTCAAAGTTTTCGTCTTTTCAATTAAATTTAATTTTTACAATTTATTTTATTTTCTGAATTAAAAAGACGAAAAAAATAGTGCACCATTTATTTAATTAGAGAGAGAGAGAGAGAGAGAGAGAGAGAGAGAGAGAGAGAGAGAGAGAGAGAGAGAGAGGAGAGAGAGAGAGAGAGAGAGAGAGAGAGAGAGAGAGAGAGAGAGAGAGAGAGAGAGAGAGAGAGAGAGAGAGAGAGAGAGAGAGAGAGAGAGAGAGAGAGAGAGAGAGAGAGAGAGAGAGAGAGAGAGAGAGAGAGAGAGAGAGAGAGGAGAGAGAGAGAGAGAGAGAGAGAGAGAGAGAGGAGAGAGAGAGAGAGAGAGAGAGAGAGAGAGAGAGAGAGAGAGAGAGAGAGAGAGAGAGAGAGGAGAGAGAGAGAGAGAGAGAGAGAGAGAGAGAGAGAGAGGAGAGAGAGAGAGAGAGAGAGGAGAGAGAGAGAGAGAGAGAGAGAGAGAGAGAGAGAGAGAGAGAGAGAGAGAGAGAGAGAAAGAGAGAGTAATAAAGAGAGAAAAAAGAAGAAAAAATAAACATAATATAATGAGAGAAATAATGTTTTGACATTTTATTAAATAATATTAATTAAAAAAAAAATTACTAAATTTTATTAGTACTTACAGTTCGATGTATTATTTCTCGATATTAATCCAAAATTGTTTTTTAATAAATAAAAACAAATACACACACAAATAGATATCCTTATGAAGATTGTCTTTCTCGAAGAAATTATAAAAAAAAAACACACACACGTAAAAGTCGAAGAAGAAGATGAAGAAAAAGTTATTTTATTTCTACGAGAAGCAATGAAACACCAAATTTTTTTTATTTTTGTTTTTAGTTTTTTTTTTGTTTTTTTGTTAATTAATATATACGCACAGATACACAAACACTGAATTTATTTTTAATTACAATTTTTGGAAAAGAAGAATAGAAAAAGATTGATATAAATTTGAAGAGACGCGTCTACTACGTTCAGTGGTCGAGAAGCGACTCAAAAATATTATTGCCCATCATTTCCCATATGAAGAAGAAATGTATACAAGTGTGTTTACTTGTATGTAAATATGTTTGTATATGTATAAGTTTTTTTTTAAAGTACTCCAACTCTTTTTTTGTGAGAATGAAATGGATCTGAAACAAAAAAAACAAACAAACAAAGAAAAGATTAAAAATCAAGTTTGAAATTAATTAATCAATTTTTTTTCCATTTCTTTTCAACAAATTGTTTTTTAAATTTAAATTTTTAAAAATACTTGCCTTTAAACGATCTCTGTTTGGAATATTATCCTCCTCAACAATTGGCGGCTGTTGTTGTTGAGGAGGATCGTCTGCGATGGTAACGGCCTGGGTGACATTGGCAATATGACCTTGTTGTTGCTCGACCAACACGGAGGGTTGAGCATGGTGATTATTTGCTGCAGTGATCATCACTGAATGATCTGTATTGATCGAATTTCTTTCCATTGGATGTGGTGAAAAATCTAATGATAAGACACCATTACCCAATAGAGTGTCAAATAATCGCCAAATTTGTCCATCTTTCCAAGAGGTCAGGCATCCGAAATTTACATTTTGACAAAAGTGCGGCAGTCTATTTGTCGTTGTCGTCTTCCCCAAAAGAAAAGGTACAAAATCATTGACACTTAGTCTCTTTTTAGGAACATATGTGTTTTCTAAATTTTTAATAAAATTTTCCATCTCTCTCGCAAGCTTAGAAACGTCAATACGGTGTTTATTTGCAAGAAATATTTTTTTGCAAATATTACAGTTATGACATTTCCAATTTGGATCCAAGGATTTTTCTGCAAGAGGATCAAAATGTTTAATTATAAATTTATATCAACATTGCTGTTGATTTTCACAGTATCCTAGTAATAACAGCATTTCTTTTATATATTTATCTTTCATTTCCTCACTATACGAGCGATCACTAATGAATAACTTCATTTTTGCAAAGATATCCTCGTAGTGGTAAAATAAAATGCAATCACCCGGAATGTTATCGCGACCAACTCTTTCTGTCTCTTGGCAATAATTTGCCAGAGAATTGGAAACTGTGGTGTTTATAACAAATCGGGTGTCTGATTTATCAATACCCATACCTAATGCTATTGTCGCGCACAAAACTTGAATACGATTACTCTTCCAATCAAGGAAAATCTTATTCCTTTTTGATGTCGACAATTTTGCATGATATTGTTCACACGTATATTTATTACACTTTAATAATTCAGAGTATCTTTCGGTATCTTCGATTTTTGCACAATATATAATACCAGATTCCCTATTATTATATTTTTCTTGCATCAAATGAAGAATTTCCATACCTCTATTTTTTTCTTTGATGTTGAAATTTAGCGAAAATCTTAAATTTGACCTATACAAATCTCCAAACAATCTGTATATAAATTAAAACAAAAAACTAAAATAACTTTATTAGTATTATTGTTATTATTGATAATTTAAAAAGTAGAATATTTAGAAATATTTTACTTTAATTTTTAAATAAAATTATATACAGAAAAAAGTAGCTTACACAATGCAATTTTGGTCAAGTTTCAACATGCTTTGTAATTCTGGAATTTCATTGCGTGTAATTGTTGCTGAAAATCCACAAATTTGGATTCGAGGAAAATACATTTTCAGATGTTTTAATTTGAGATAAGAATTTCTGAAAGGACAACCCCAATCCATCATGCAATGGATTTCATCTATAATTATACGCGATAATTTTTCCCATTTATTTGCCTTCTGCAATTGCTTCAACACTTCCTCATCTTTAAATAATTTTTCTGGCGTTATAAAAATGAAATCAATATCATTGATTTTATCTGCCCTTGAAAAATTATCCTCCAACAATGCATTAGCTTCTGAATTGCTGCCCGTCACTTTTAATGTGTGAAACTAGAAAATAAAAGTGAAAATTTAATAGAAAAAAAAATTAATTATTTTAAGAAAAAAAGTTATATAATAAATTTTTTAACTTTTCAAATTGTAATAAAAATTTATATTTGAAAATCTTTATAAAAATATAATCTCTTACGCGTAACTGTTGTAGATAGTTATCCTGATCTTCTATAAGAGCAAGTAATGGCGAAATGATAATTGCTGTTCGTTTATTAATGACAGCATTACCATTGTCATCGTAATTGTCGAGATACGTAGGAAATTGAAAGCATAACGATTTACCACTTCCTGTTGGCATCACAAATAATCCATCATTACCATTTTTAATATTGGTAATGATTTCTTCTTGAAACTTTCTAAATTTATTTATACGAAATTTATCTTTCAATTTCCTAATCCATAATTGTTGCGCCATTACGATTTTATTTGCTTCTTATACTGAAAAATAAAACAAGAAAAAAAATGTTTAAATATTTAAACTATTAAAATTAACATACGAATTAAATATTACAATTTAGCAATTTCATTTATTAATTCAACACTAGAATGAAAATAAATATTTCAATTAAGATTCTAAATTGACCTTCTTCATACAAATACAGTTTAATTGTCAATTTTTGTTTTTTTCATTTATTTTTTCAATATTTCGACGCCTTCCGTTCATATAATGCTTATTGAAAAACAAATGCAAGATCATTCTTATTGAGTTTTTAGTGCAAGACAATTCTTATTCGATGTTCCGTGCAATAAAATGCTTATTCAAAATTGTGTGCAAAACAATTGCTATTGACAGAACAATAAATGTAACCCTAAATCATCTTTTTAATATTAAATTGCAATTAAATTTCTGAGAATTTCAGTGCATATCTATTGTTATTAGAAAATTTAATACTTGATTATCTCTTACGTATTAAGAAATATTGTTTAAGCAATTGTAATTAAAAATTATATTCAATTAAAAATTTTATAAAACTCATAGTGTAAGCTAATTTCAGATTGTACTTTTTAGCATAGAATTTTGAATAAGCATTTTATTGCACGGAAAATCGAATAAGAATTGTCTTGCACTAAAAACTGAATAAGAATGATCTTGCATTTGTTTTACAATAAACATTATATGAACGGGAGGCGTCGATTTACATGAATTTTGATGATGAAATTGTCAATTTCTTGTGTTATTAACCCTCCATCCGTCGCATGGTGAGAATTTCCCTCACCCAGTTTCTTTTTTTATTTATAACTTTTAAAATACAAAAAATTATAATTTCATATTCTCAGTACCTTTTACGGCACTCTTCTTCTTTACATTAAAACAATTTTGGTGTTTTTTTATATTTTAATTTCTTTCTTATTGAATTTGAAAGCAGCAAATGTCGGGGATTTTTTACGTGAAGTGAGGGAACTTCTCACCATGCGACTGACCGCGTATACTCGATTTCATTTGTCATTAATTTTTTATTTAAATAATTAACAGGAAATAAAAGTTAATTTTACTGCCAATAGGTTGTTTAGAAATTCTAATGAACATTCAAAAAAAAATTTGGCATTTTAGAACAAGTTTGGACTAATTTATGAGGGTGAGAATTTCCCTCACCTGCGACGGATCGCGTTACAAAAAAAGGTGCGACGGATGGAGGGTTAACTGTAAAAAAACACATTTTTCAATTGCAACATTATCTTTCATTTAAAACTTGAATGGAAAAAAATTGTCTTCAAAGTTTCAAAAATTTTTAATTTTCAAATTTAAAATTTCCAAAAATTAATCTTTTTTCAACAAAAGGAGTCCATATTTTTAAAAACTTTTGTAATGATGATGATGATGATGTTACTTTATAGTGTTATTATTGACTGATTGGTAAATTACGAAATGGCAACGACATTACGACGATTTCATTGGCATTTTCTCAGCCATTAAAATCTTTTGATAATTGAGGAGCTGGATTCTATAACCGGCTCTTCGCTCGAACTCACGCAGAAGATAGTCCCTTCGTCAGCTATGTCATGAAAATTTAAAAACTCAAAAAAAAAAATATTTAAAAATTATGACGTTGTAGAGGAGAAAAAAATACATCTTTTTTCTATTTACAATTTTTTTCTAGAATGCAAGTTATTAATACTAAAAAATAAAAACTAAAAATTTTTTTTCTGAAAAATTAATTACCTTTTGATAAATATATCGTCATTTCTCAGTCAAATATTAATGAAATAAACCGATTTTTTTTAGGCTTGCACAATATACCTTACCGAAGCCCACAAGCCAAAGTAAAGTCCAAAAAAACAAATTGTTTATTAATTATTAATTTTGAAAGTTGTTATTTACAACAAAAGGAATTTCAATTTTCAACGAGAAAAAGTATGCGACGAAATTTCACATTATGAAAACTTCTCGCGAGAAAGTTTTTCCTTTATTATTCAGGAAGTTTTTCCAAAAAGAATTAAACCGATTCGATGAGAAATAAAGAAAATAAAAGAAAAATAGCGAAACAGTATTTTCATTCGCAGCGAAAACCCTGTTCGGCAGCCATGTTTATCATATGACTCGTAGCTTACGCACGCTCACACACTCACGCTGCTGTGTAAAATAGAAATGTGTGCGTGCGTACGTTACAAGTCATATGACAAACATGGCTGCCGAACAGGGTTTTCGCTGCGAACGAAAATACTGTTTCGCTATTTTTCTTTTATTTTCTTTATTTCTCATCGAATCAGTTTAATTCTTTTTGGAAAAACTTCCTGAATAATAAAAAAAAAACTTTCTCGCGAGAAGTTTTCATAATGTGAAATTTCGTCGCATACTTTTTCTCGTTGAAAATTGAAATTCCTTTTGTTGTAAATAACAACTTTCAAAATTAATAATTAATAAACAATTTGTTTTTTTGGACTTTACTTTGGCTTGTGGGCTTCGGTAAGGTATATTGTGCAAGCCTAAAAAAAATCGGTTCATTTCATTAATATTTGACTGAGAAATGACGATATATTTATCAAAAGGTAATTAATTTTTCAGAAAAAAATTTTTAGTTTTTATTTTTTAGTATTAATAACTTGCATTCTAGAAAAAAATTGTAAATAGAAAAAAGATGTATTTTTTTCTCCTCTACAACGTCATAATTTTTAAATATTTTTTTTTTGAGTTTTTAAATTTTCATGACATAGCTGACGAAGGGACTATCTTCTGCGTGAGTTCGAGCGAAGAGCCGGTTATAGAATCCAGCTCCTCAATTGAGAAAAGAAAAGTTTTTCAAGAAAAATATTGAAATGAATAAAGGATTATTCTATGATGAAATTTAGGGTAGATGTACCATTTTTGGCCATGCCACCGGTTTTAACCAACCACACACTTTTATTAATTTTAATACTATTCTTTTATCTACACTTTATATTTTTTTATAAAATTTTATTTTCACAATTAATATTATTGACAAATCTTTTGAATTTTTTTACTAATTGTACTTATTATTTACGTAAAGAAAATAATTTGAAGGAAGTGTTGACAAACGGCCAATTGTTAAAAATAAATCGTAAGACAGTGCAGAAAACATAATCGCTAATATCGTTTTTAAAAGTAATAATAATACTAATATAAATTTATAGGTTAATTATACAAGTCGTTTAACTGAATTTAAAATTTATTATAGCTTTTAGAAAAACTGATCTTGGGGGGTGAAAAAGCCATAGAGACAAAAGCCATTGAATGTGATGTAAAATTCATTTGTTTTCTACTTCAACTGACCTTTTAATTTTACAAAAATTTTGGCGTGTTTACTTAATGAAATTAATTAAACACAGCTGTAAATATAGCTAGGAATTCTAATCAAACCTCTTAAATAAAAAAAATTATCAAATAACTAAAATAAACATTGATTTTCATTATCAATAATAGCTTTTAAAATAAAAAGGAATTGTAAAAACTTTATTTTAAAAAAAAGAGAAAAAAAATTTTTTTAAGAGAAAAAACTGCACAAGCCACAACAAGAACCTATTTGAATTGGTACAAATTGAAGTATTTCATAGACGAAAAGAAAATTGAATAAACCAATTTTGAAATTAACACTTTTAATACAGAAAATAATTTATATATAGGTATATATAGTTATATTATATATATATACATTCATTCAAGAATTTTAATCATTAAACGTTTTTATAAATAAATTCTGATTAACTAATTATTTTCTTATATACTATACAAGTTTCAATTCCTTTTTTTTAATTTTAATTAAAATGCTTGTATACTTTTGCAATATTTTAATAATATAAAATTATTAATAATCATACTCTCTCAATCTGAATTAGTAAAAATTTTAACTTTTCAATTAGTAGAATTATCAAATTTTACTAATGAATTACTAAAATTCACATAAAATGTTTATAACATATAAATAAACTTTTTAATTTATTAACAATTAATAGTTTTATTTAATAAATTTTAATAAAAAATTCTTCTTCTTACTTACAATTATTAATGAAAAATGTAGATGAATAAATTTTTTTTATATCGCTGCACAAAAACGAATAACTGAGAGTGAAATGTACCAATAAGGAAATGTTTCTTATTATTAAAATCACGTAGCACTACTGTTATAAGCAATGACATTGAAAATAAAGAAAGGAACAAAATGTGGTGAGAATAACAACACTCACACAAAATGGTATCATGTAATTTTTGAATGGTATTTACGATAAAACGAAAAGGAATGAAAGAGAGAAAGAGAGAGAGAGAAAGAGAAAAAAAGAGAGAAAGAGAGAAACAAAAGAAACAAAAGAAACAAAAGAGAGAGAGAGAGAGAGAGAGAGAGAGAGAGAGAGAGAGAATAAATGAGTGAGAAACAGAGAAAGAAAAAGAAAAAGAGAGAATGTATATATATATATATATATATATATATATATTTTCATTCCATATAAAAAACCAGCTTTAAACGTTTCATGACAAAATTAAATATTCAATTTTTAAAAAAAATGTAATCACTCTTATTTGCATTCACAATGAGAAAACTTTATTATACAATAAAAGTTTATTCCAATTGTATTCTTTAAGTTTCATGTATTTTGATTTTGAAAATATTTTATAAATAAAACTCTGTATATGGAAACAATTTCGATTCGATGAAAATATTGTCAGTTTACTTCTTGTTTTTCATTTACTGTAAATTTGTTTTTTAGTCTCTTTCAATCATTTCATCTATATATTATATTTTCTCTTATTCTCTTTAAATTTTCATCTCTTTGTAAATATTTTTAAACATAGACAATTCAAAACCTGATAAATATTAAAATAACTTTAAAAGATGTTATTGGAATAATTTCTAATGAAATTATGTTTTCAATTATTATTTTAAAAAAATATCATAAATAAAATAATTGAAAAGAGAAGAAAGAAAAAGAAAATTTGAAAAAAAAAATGAAAGCAAACAGACATTACATAAAATAACAATCACGATAAACACAACAATAACGAGAAAAAAAAGGAAGAAATATAAATTATTTAATTAAAAAAAATTTATTGATAGGATACAATGAAAATATCATTTAAATATGAAATTATATTTTTAGAAATCAACATTTTTTTTATTTTCTTCTTATTGTAAAAAAATTCAATTACTATTCAACAATATAATTTATATAAAGAATAAATGTAGCAAAAACATAGAAAAAAATACATTATTTACACTTTAAGTAGACGAATTAGAATTTCTGTTTCATACATTAAAAACATCTATATTTACAGAAACTTTTTCCATACGACGTTTTACAAACTCAATGAACAACAAAATCTTAACATTTCATGAAGTTATTGAAATTCAATTTTCTACAAAAACTAATACATTTTTCATATCATAAGAATGTTTTTAAAAAAAATAAATAAATTGAAAAAAATTATCGATATCTTATTAAACAGAAAAAATTTGAAAAAAAAATTTAACAATTATCAAAAATTTTAAATAAATTAACAACGAAAAAGGAATGAATTATAATAAAAGAAACAAAAGAAAAACAAAATTAATTAGAAAACTAATAAAGAAATAGATAATACGGAAAAAAGAAAATTCACATTTTTAATTAAAAATAAAGAAAACATGAAATTACAAAAAGAAGTAGACAATTTTCTTCTCAGCAAAAAAAAAAAAAGAAAAAGAAAAAACAATAATAAAAAACACTACCAAACATTTATTACGAGCAATTAAAATAAAATGAAAAAGAAAATTTTTGCAAAAAGAAAAAAGAAAATTTCTTTTTATTCTTTGTAATATTCTTTACATTTTGTAAATAAATTTTTTTTTCCCCTTTTGTTAACTTTGCATCTTTAATTAATGTTCGGTAGTGCTTTTTTAATCGTGAATATAAAAATGTTTTGATAGATTGGATTGTCCGATTTTCCAAGGTCTGAAACATAAATAAAGATAGAATTTTAAAAAAAATTGGATTAAAAATTTGAATTAAATATGGGTAGAAAAAAACATTAAAAATTAAACTTACATTCGAGAGAGCAGTTAAATGTGACTTGGTTACATTCAACTCTTTCTGCTTGAGGAAATATTTAAAAAATTTTAACATTTCCTCGGGCTGATATAACCTTCCATTTATTTTAGAGTATGCTTTACTCTTCTGCTTCTTTCTCTTATTTTTCTTGTGCAATATCTTCCGGAAATTGCCAAGCGGAATCCGCATTCCTTTTTTGTAGTAGAAATCCACATTTTTTACTAATTTGCTTGTGAATTTTTCTACACGTTTATAATATTTTTCCTCATCGTCAGTGTCAATATTGTCAGTAGTACTGTCAGTGTCTGTGTCATCAGTACTGTCAGTGTTTTTGTCTTTTTTAATTTTAAAAATCGGTTCGTCATCACTGGTAGTGTCACTGTCCTTAATTGTAACAAAATAACTGTCGTCACTGTCCACGTCAGTTTCGTCATTTTGGGGAATTTTAATTTTATTATTATTCACAACAGTGTCGTTGGCGTCATCACTGTCGTCACTGTCGTGAATAATATTATTTTTTTTCATTTTAATTTTACTTCTGTCATTGTAAGTGTCATTGTCGGTCTTTCGTTTTCTGTTCGTCGTGAATGAGGTTGATGGTCCAGCAATTACTTCTTCTACCTCTTCAGTTTTTGTTGGGCTATTAGGCACCAATTTTTGCAAATAGAAGGGGAAGAATTTCTGAAATTAAAAACAATGAATCTCAATTAAAGTGAGAAAAAAAATACATAAGAGTGAAAGAAGATGAAAATTAAATGAAAAACAAAGGAAGGAAATAATAAGAGTTGGATATATTAAAAAAGTAAAAAGAAAATCATTAGGATAATATTAAAAATAAAAAAAATTTTGAGATAAAAAAAAAATAAAAAAAATAAAAAATGTAGTAATTTTTAATAAAATTAATTTATTAAATTAATTTTATATATTTAAAATTCTTTTTTTTCAAAAATTTTTAATGATATAATGAGCGAAATGAGAGATAACCCTTTTTTACTTTTGCCCTCATCATTTGCACTATTAAAAATTTATAGCATTAAACATTTTGTAAAGTTAAAAAAGAGTAAGATGAAAGATGCCCTTTTTTACTTTTGCCCTTATTAATTTACTCCTGATAACAATGCAAAAATGATTAATAATATAAATTTTTATTTTAAATTTCATAATAAAAAATTTATAATTTTTTCATTTTATACTAAATTGTCTTAAATTAAAGTAGAAAAATAATTTATAGATAATAAAAAGAATGAATTAAATAGAAATAAATGAAGAAAGAAATTGTAAATGAAAAGAAAAGAACAATTAAAAAAAAACCAAAATAAAGTAAATAGAAAAAACGAGAGAGTGAGAGTGAGAGTGAAAAAAATGTCCAATATGAAAGAAAGAAAGAATATAAAATAGAATTTAAGAATAACAGTAAAAATAGTAACAAAAATTGTTATATTTTCTAATTGGAAAAATTTGAAATAAGTCAAAATTTAAATCGAATCAGCAATTTCTTTAAATACAATTAAAAATAATTTTCAGATTATAATTTGTTATTGAAAAATCATATTTTATTTTAATTGTTTTATAACAAGATTTTCATTTATTTACCAAATTTTCAAAAGTATGTTGAAAATTTTTTTCACTCTTTTCTTTATATTTAAATATTTATGTAGGGGAGAGTCTCCAGTTGTGAGACGGGTTTCATTTTTTACCCGTAAATTGTAAATGGGTAAACAAAATTGTAAATAAAATACACCGTTCGAAAGGTAACAGAAATACGCAACTTTTATTAAAAGAAAGTATAGTGTTTCGATGAACTCAAAAAATTTTACGATACATTTTCCGAGAACATCGCTTTTTTCAAAAAAAAAAAATTTCTCCAGCTGTGAGACACTCATTAAAAATTGCTAAAATTTAATAAGTTTGACTTAAAACGTTATGTTTAGTAGAAATAATTAAATATATTAATAATATATATATTATTATATACTAAATATTTATATTTATTCGCCAAAATATGACTATCAAATAAACACAATTAAATAGCTTCAAAAAAAGCATTAAAATTGATTTCTTCTGAATCGATTGACTTTTATCCACTTGACATGCCCAAAAATACTAGAAAAAAAATCAAAACAACATTTAAATAGTATGCCTGCAAAGTCGTATTTTTTATGCTGCCCAGATGAGTGTTGACACCGTCTCACAACTGGTGATATGTTGTGTCTCACACCCAGAAATTGGCGCTATTTTGAAAAAGGAAAATTAAATTATTATTTTCAATCGTAGATTGGAACAATGCAATATTGCATCACAAAATATAAGGAAAATACTAAAAGAAAATGCATTACATTTAATTTTTCCAATTGATTAACTTGAAAAAAAAGTACTTTGTATTTATTGAAAAAACGCTTTTTAGTCAATTATCACACACAGTGTTGGTATTTATCGAAAACAGTTTATATATCCGCTTCGGCGTACACAAAAAAGTTGGTTCATATAAAAAGAAATGTTTTTATATAAACCAATCGGCTTTTTAATATTGCATGTTAAAAAAAATTGACTGTCTCACAAGTGGAGGTGTCTTACAACTGGAGACTCTCATCTACTTTTTTATTTCTTTTAAAAAAGTTTTTACTTCATTCAACGCTAATATAATTCTGATTCAAGAAAATAGGAAGGTTAATACAAGTAAATATTTGTTTCAAGTGGATTAAAAATTACATTGAAGTAATCTCATATTTATTTCAAGAAAGAAATTCATTTTTTTGTGTCAAGTAATTGTTAGTTTTGAACAAAATTCTTAAATTAGCAATTTCGTATTTGGCAGAACTCAATATGTAATTCTATATATGTAATTTTATATATATATATATAAAAATAAATATTTACCATAAATACACACATACAAACATGAACAATTATAAAAATTTATATATATATATATATAAATAAAAATTGTTAACTTTTTCAATAGTTTTTCAATTGTTATTTCGATTAAACTACAAATGACACTTCACTACTCGTCATTATTTTCGTCATCATTAATCGCACTACTATCGCTGTCATCATCTGATAATTGTAAAATTCTCCGACGTCCAGGACAAATCTTTTCACTTTTTTTGCTGTTGATGATGAGGAGGACGAGAGGAATTAGCAATTGGCATACGTTCAAGTACAACCAATGGATGCATAGCAGATTGATTTGCTATTGGTACTTGAACAATAGATGCTGTTACGATGTTCTTATAAATTCGGATGTTGATGCTTCAGCAGATCCTGATACTGGTGATGATGATCCAGCTGTTGTTGCTGCAGCAGCAGTAATTGTGAAAGGTAGCCGTGATAGTTGTGGTTGTTGAGGCCGTTGTCCACTAATGCTCATAGCCTTATAACGACAAGTTACATTTAATAATGAACCATCATAAGGTTGAATCGTGCTTTGAGGATTATTGGAGTAGCATTGTTCGTATTCTTCCCGTGTTCCTGGAAGCATCTTTGCTAGTGTACGTAATGTACGATGATTTCGTACAACATTTGTTTGTTCGTTGAACTCATTTACGGACAATACTGCACCCATCGCAGACAGATCTTTATAGCATAAGCTACTTAGAATTTTTGGAGAGTTTTCTTTGAAATATTCTTTCTCATTTCTAGTGATGTACATTTTATACTGAAAAAAAGTTGAAACATATAAGTTATTATTTTAATATTAATTTATTGAATTATTTATTTATTGATTTGTTTATTTATTCTTTTAAATTGAAATTTTTAAATTTTCGAAAATACTTGCCTTCAAAGACAACTCGTTTGCAACATTATCTTCCTCAACAATTGGTTGTTCCTGTGGAAATGGTAGCGGTGGCAATTCTTGTTGAGGAAGATGAGGATCATCTACGATGGCAACGGTCGGGGCCACATTGACAATTTGACGTTGATTGACCAATACAGGAGGTTGAAATTTTAGAATCAAACCAAACAATAATACATTGAAATGTACAGTTTATTGTGATGAAGAAATTAATTTTAAACCCAATGATTCTATAGGTAGTTTGTTAGGATTTTCTCCTCGCAAATTAAAAGCTCAAGAATACCATGAGTCTGATCAACCAGTATCAATCATTAAAATAAATTCATTAAGAGTAGAATGTAATATAACAACGGGAGCATACATTAATGGTGAAAAAGTGCATACAATTCATGAATTTTTTCCTATTGTTCCACCAGGATATAAAATAGTGGAAGTACCAAATCACGTCATTTACTTGCCAGTCGCTGTCAAGACAATAGACTATATTCAAGGTTTTTAATAGTTTCAATGTCAGTTTACTGTAGTCGCTTGTAACGTTTGCATGCAAGTCCAATAATAAGGTCCATGCTACTTTACAACATCTGATTGCTAGGTCTAGTTTTTTAGGAGAGGTTTGCGATTTGGTGTCGATCGTCAACTCTTTCATGCTTTGGGCAAGGTCCACGTTTCCTACTGTCGGAGGCAATTGGGATAATTGACTATTACTGTGATAATTGTCTATTACTGTCATAATTTTTTTGTTAGATCATTAAAGGTTGACTGTTTGTAGTCAAATGACAAAAAACTATAAATACATTGGTTATATAGATTTCCACTTTAGTCTTAAAAAAGTTTTCCTACCGAAAAGAATATAAATATGGGTGTAAATAAAAAACAAATTAGTTTAAAGAAAACTTCGAAAAGAGTAAGACGAGGTAGAGGTATTTTAAATAAAATTATCAATAAATTACCTTTTGAACTTCATATACCTGGCTATCAATACTGTGGTCCAGGAACAAAATTGGCGAAAAGATTAGCACGAGGTGATCCAGGAATCAACCCTCTCGACGCTGCTTGTAAACAGCACGATATTTCTTTTTCAAAAAATAGGGAAAGTGTAGAAGCGAGAAACGCAGCTGATAGAGTACTTGCTGACAAAGCTTGGCATCGTGTGTTTGCTCCTGACGCAAATTATAGTGAAAGAGCTGCAGCTTACGCAATAACAAATGCAATGAAGGTCAAATCAAAATTGGGCATGGGAATCAAGTCAAAAGAAAATATGAAGAAAAAGAGGGAAAATAAAAAATCAACGTTGAGAAAGATTGTAACCGCAGCGAAAAAATCTATGAAATTAGATACAAATGCACAGTCTACTATTAAATCAGCACTTGAGGGTGCACGTTTGGCAGTTAAAATTGCTGGTGGCAGGCGAAAAATTAATAAACCTCGAGTTTTACCGATACCTGCTAAAGTGGGAGGAATTTTACCTTTTCTTATTCCTTTGTTTGCGGGTTTAAGTGCAACAGGGGCTCTAGCAGGGGGAGCAGCTGGCATAGCAAAAGCTGTAAATGATGCAAATTCTGCAAAACGTCAACTAGAGGAAAGCAAGCGACATAATCAAACAATGGAATCTATTGCCTTAGGAAAAGGTCTCTTTCTAAAACCATATAAAGCAGGACTAGGCCTTCATCTAAAACCCTACAAATTAGGACAAGGTTGCAAGTCAAAAAACTTGAAGTAAAGCTACCTCACCGTGCGCTAACAGATTTAGATTTACTAAAATTTGCAAAAAGTTTAAAAATTCCATATTTTCGAGGAGTTTTTATGCGAAATGAACTACCTATGCGTGGTCCTAAAGAAACTGAATTTGCAATTATTAATCTAGATGATAAAAATGGTCCTGGTACACATTGGTGTGCATATAAAAAGAATAAAAATAAAATCATATATTTTGATAGCTTTGGTAATCTTCGACCACCTTCGGATCTTGTTAAATATTTTGGTGTTGGTAGCATAAAATATAATCATAAACGATATAAAAACTATAATACATATGTGTGCGGACATTTATGTCTTAAATTTTTATGTAAACAATTGAATATTCCTGATTTGTATACTTTGCATATAAATAAATGATATTCTTAGTTTAAATGTCAGTTATTAATTTGACCTCATCATGGACGATTCACTTATTTTAACATTGTCTGGAAATTCTTCCATCTTAGAATCTCAATTTTTTCCACCAATAGAGTTGTCTAATTTTAAAAATTATGCTCTTGGTCTTGTTGAATTTTTAACTTTTAATTCTATTCCTAATATAGATGTTGGAAAGAATAAATTTTACGTAGGAAATGAAGAAATTATTATACCACAGGAAGTTATGAAGTTAGTGATATTGATCAAGTTTTGCATTTAATTTTAAAAAATAAAGGAATTAATTTTAGAATCAAACCAAACAATAATACATTGAAATGTACAGTTTATTGTGATGAAGAAATTAATTTTAAACCCAATGATTCTATAGGTAGTTTGTTAGGATTTTCTCCTCGCAAATTAAAAGCTCAAGAATACCATGAGTCTGATCAACCAGTATCAATCATTAAAATAAATTCATTAAGAGTAGAATGTAATATAACAACGGGAGCATACATTAATGGTGAAAAAGTGCATACAATTCATGAATTTTTTCCTATTGTTCCACCAGGATATAAAATAGTGGAAGTACCAAATCACGTCATTTACTTGCCAGTCGCTGTCAAGACAATAGACTATATTCAATTGCGAATTGTAGACCAAGACGGAAATTTAGTTAATTTTCGAGGGGAAACTTTAACAATAAGACTTCATATTAAATCCTTAAAATAATGGGTATTGTTTTTAATAATAGAAAAAGGATTGGTTTTGGTTATAAAATTAAGACACCATGCCAGAAGCAAATCAGTCGTCGGCGAATCTTGAAGAGATTAACACCTCAGAACCAGCAACTACTAAAAAATCTCGGTCTAAAGATTGTAAAAAAAGGAAGAGAGTAAAAAAGAGATTTAAGGTTATTTTTACTTGTATTTGTGCCTTTGTATTTCAACGTATTATTATTTGCTATGGAAGGGGAAATTTTAAATATTGATTCACCAGTAATTTTTGATGAATCTATTGCTCATTATGAAGTTCATGCGCAACAACCATACACCTCATCAACATACAACAATAGTGATGAAATCCGCATCACGGTACAAAATCAGGATCATTGCTTATTTCCAAGCAAAAGCTCGATTCACATCACTGGAAAACTTGTGAAACCTGATGGAACAGCTCTAGAGCGTACAAATTTAATTTCTAATGGCATATGTCATTTATTTGAAGAAGCAAAGTATGAACTTAATGGTGTAGAAATTGATAAAAATAAAAATGTTGGTCTTACAAGTTTAATGAAAAATTATATTTCTCTGGATGCTAGTCAAAATAAATTTCTTGAAAATGTTGGCTGGTTAGAATTTACAAATGAACCAACCTTAACAAATGCACAAGGTTATTTTGATGTTTGTATTCCTTTAAGTATGATTTTTGGTTTTGCTGAAGATTACCAAAAAGTTATTATTAACGCTAAACATGAGCTTATTTTAATCAGATCAAGAACGGATGCTAACGCAGTGTTGCAAGTAGCACCTTTAGAAGAGTTTAAAATTGTTATTGAAAAAATTGAATGGTTATTACCATACATAAAATTATCAGATGCTCGAAAATTTAAATTATTAAAATATATTGAAAAAGATCCATCTATTCCAATAAGTTTTAGAACTTGGGAATTGTATGAATATCCTTTATTACCAATTACTCCTAAGCATATTTGGAGTGTAAAAACTTCAAGTCAATTAGAGAAACCTAGATTTATTGTATTAGGGTTTCAGAGAAACAGAAAAAATAATACAGTTCAAAACTCTAGTTGTTTCGATCACTGTGATTTATCTGATGTAAAATTATTTTTAAATTCACAATGTTATCCTTATGGTAACATGAATCTCAATATTGGTAGAAATCAGTACTCTACTTTATATGAAATGTTTACAAATTTTCAAGCATCTTATTATAGTAAAGAGTCTCAACCAATTTTATCAAAAAAAGAATTTTTACAATATGCTCCTTTAGTTGTAGTAGATTGTTCAAAACAAAATGAGTCTTTAAAAAGTGGACCAGTTGATATCCGCTTAGAATTTGAATCAAAAGAAAATTTTCCCGCCAATACTTCAGCTTATTGCTTAGTTTTGCATGACCGCATCGTTGAATATAAACCAATCAGTGGAATTGTTAAAAAAATTGTTTAACTTTAGGCTTATATATATTTAACTCTTTAAGCGTAATGAGATTAGTTGATTTAAAAATGCAGTACTTGATGGATGTGCAAGGATT